GCCTGTTAGCTTAGCTTGTAGCTTAGCTTCTCAGCTTAGCTGCTTTGAATGATCCAAAAACACAATTTTGGACGGTTAAACAGAATTTAAAGAGAAAAGAGAAAGGGAGGGGTCAGTGAAGAACACCGGAGTTGAGTCTTTTGTCATCCAGTGTCTTCAGTAGAGAGAGACACGAAGAAACGATAAAGCCGACAAATGAAAACGAGGTCGATAATTTTCATTTATCATGCGATTAATAGATTTATTGTTTATAGCGACAGGCCTAACAAAGACTCTAACGAGCCTCAATTGTGAAGAGTGAGAGGTCAATCTGCATGTGTCAGTCTGCATTATGCAAGCTTACAGAACACCTCAGCTTTATAACTTGAATCCAACACTCCTTGTTTCTTTGAACTGAGAAAGCTCCTCGGATGAGAAGTGAAACGTCTTCAGTTACAAATAAAGTCCAGTTGTTTTGTTTTTAATCTTCTTTTGGAGTTACCACGTCCTGGATGACTGAGAATCTTCACCAGCGTTCATCTATACAAGAGACGATCTTTAGAGTTGATTTTTTTTTAAGCTATTGGTTTTCTATGTTAATATCCATTTGGTGAAACAAATCTTATATCTTCCTTTCTTTGAAATAGGTTTTTAAAATATCATTTCAAACTGATTTGCTTACAAAAGCAGTAAAAACCTAATACAAAGAAAAAAATATATATATTTTTTGGGTTCGGGCCTGTAATTACAATTAATCCGTCGGATTCGGGTCAGGCTCAGAAAAAATGATACGGGTTCGGGCCAAAGTTTTTAGGCCTGAATGCAACTCTAGTAGGAGGCGGCCGGTTGCGTGGTATCATGTTGGGGGTGGAGCCCTGAGCGCAGCTCCACTGGTCTGACTCAGACATAATGTCTTTGGAGTTGGTCACGCTGGAGCGTTTCCCATAGAGAAGAACCTCACTCTGTTATCAAAGAACCGGGGTTACGGTAAGTAACCTAACGTTCTGCTAAATGTTTCTTCCTCATGAGGGAGTTTTTCCTTTCCACTGTCGCCTTCATGCTTGCTCAGGATGACAGTCTGCGATGAAGAAGCAGTCTGCTCCTCAGATAAATCTGTTCAGTGCCCTGAGATGACTTCTGTTGTGACTTGGTGCTACAAAAATAAACTGAATTGAATTGACCTGTTTTAAACAAAGAACACAGATGTGGAGCAGACGACAATGGACAAAGAAAATGAAAACGAAACAAAAAAAGTCCCGAGTCAGCAGATCAGGGTTGATCCCAGGGAGATGAACAAGAACCTCGGCTTCAACACAAACACTGAGTCAAGATGTCAAGTCTGGTCCTGATGAGACGTGGGGTCCAGTCCTGACCCAACAGTGGAGTGGGGTTCCAAAAACTGTGGCTTCTGGTCCCGACCAGATGTGATACACCTTTCTAATCCGACATGAGGTCCGGTTCCAACCAGATGTAGAGTCCAGTCTCAGCAAGACAGGGAGTCAAGGGGTCCAATCCCTACGAACCACGGCTTCTGACCCCTGTCATTCAGTCCCAACTAGATACAGGGTCCAGTTCAGACGACGTGTGCCTCCTGGTCCTGATCAGATGTAGAGTCTAGTCTCAACAAGACAATTAGTTTAGCCTTGACCAAATGTAACTTCCTGTCCCGACCAGACATGTGGTCCACTTCCAGCCTGAAGTGATTCTGTCTAAAAACAAACCGGGTCTTGGGTGTCAGAGCGGTTCTGAACTGGAACCAGAACCGATTGTTAAGAGAACTGATTTTATTTGCTCAGATGTGAATGGGGGCGGAGGTCAGGGTTAGCACACCAGCTCCAGAATTTAGATGAGCTGTGACGAAGCAAACGGAACCAGGTTTGGGTTATCGCTCGTGACTTTAGGCTCGTCGAGTTGACGGACGAACTCCTTATGACAGGAAACACGATCAAACCAAACACCTGAGCCTCATACTGTTACCTGAGTGACTCACCTGCCCTCCATCTGTCCCCAGACCTCCAGGATGTACACCGTGCCGCTGTATGAGGACCTGGTTTCCGGGGTGATGAAGTGCGTTGCCGTGGAGATCTTCTACCAGACGCAGCGCCGCCTGCACCCAAACCTCAGACGAACGTTGCAGCAGATCCTGTTCCCAAACAACTCAGTACCAATCAATCAGAACAGCCTGGCGCCGCCCACTGCGGGTGGCCCCGCCCCCTCTAGTTCACCACCTCAAACTGCTGCTACCACCGCCGCTGCTACTGCCGGGAAGACCGCCACCATTGCGCTGCGGGACGTGAACGTCTCTGCGTGACGAAGATGAGGATCATCATCTTCATCGATTTGTTTACAAACAACAAAACAAACGTTTGGATGAAATCAGAAGTTTGACGACAGTGTTAACCAGCAGCAGGAAGTGGTGCTGCCAGTGTTATTAGCCACTTCCTGTTATCTGGTAGTCATGTGACCTCCTCAGTTCTGTTCATGACATAGCAGCGTTCGTGGTTCTCTGTGTTCTTGCTGATTGGACCGTCAGGGTTCTGCTCTGTGGGTTTCATTACTCTGCAGGAGCAGCAGAGTTGGTCAACGTGAAAAGAACCGGATCAGAACCACTGCTCTGTGTCAGATACGGGTTCATAGAGACCCAAACCGTTGGTGAGGACAAAGTCCACCTTTCAGTTCTTGGGTTGTTGGAACAATATCGGGTCTTTCCCAGGTTCCACAGAGTCATATGTTCATCAAAAACTGGTTCCAGCCCTGACCCAGAACCTCCTCCAGCAGCAGAACCCTCTGTGGGTTTCTGAAGGACTTCAGTCTCTCGTGGTTGTGGAGGAGTTTGACCCACTCTTCTTTCCATCTTTCAGTTCAGTGAGGGTTCTGCTCAGCTCTCTGAAGGTCCACCACAGAGTTGCAGTCAGTGCCAGGTTCTGGACTCTGAACCGTTGAGGCACCTTGGTTCTGTTCTGTTTGACCCGTTCTGTTATAGATCAGCTGCTGTGTTCTGATCATGGTCCTGTTGGACCCAGTTTGGTTCAAGCTTCAGCTGTTGGACTCCAGAATCCTTTGTTCTACAGAGGAGTTCTGGTCCACTCAGTGACTGACAGAGCCCAAACCATGAGCCCTGCACCACCATGCTGACAGCAGTGCATTCTGGGTGAACATCTGTCCTTTGTCCTTAATAGTTTTTAGAGAGAAGCGTTCTCCTGCAGCCCTTCCAAACACGCCATGACCTTCGACCTTTGACCTGCTGACTGAGGCCTGTAGAATCTGAGATGGAGCTCATTTCTCTGGGCACTGCACAGTCTGACCTTTGGGGTGAATCTCCTGAAGACTGTCTGCTGCCTTAAAGGTCTCTTCTAAATAATCTTTCTGTGGAACGATGGACTTCACATCGTCTTTGACCCGTCAGCAGCAGCTGCTTCTCCGAGGTCCTTGCTCATGTCTTTCCATCTTGTCGTTGTGTTATCACCTGTGTGCTTCAGAGCAGCACACTTGGTTCTGCTTCTGCAGCAGAACCTGCTGGTTTGTTCACCTGAGGTCAGATTAAAATCATTTCAGAACCTGGTAACGATCAGATCAGCGTCATGGTGTTCTGAAACTCGAGAGCTGAAGGGACTGGACTTCCCAGAACTGTTTGGGTTTCTGGTTCTCACCGGGTCGGACTGGCGTCTCTGACAGTTCCAGCAGGAAGTCATTCCGACCCGATCGGACCCGACTCGTGAGGATCTTTTAAACATATTTTTTAATGTTTGAGGATTTAACTCAAAGAAACACGAAACAAGAACCACCAGATGACCCGGTTCTGGAAACGTTTTTGAAAACAACGTTCTGATGGTTCCGTTTTGTTACGTGTCTGAGTGAACGCCCTGCTTCATGCTCACTGTCTACCAGAACCAGAACCTGAGCCGTATCTCACCTGACCAGACTCTCCCACAGAACAGAACCTTAGGTCCGTCTGGACCTCGTCAGTCGACACCAGCAGCCTTCACCTGAGCGGCCTTAAACCTTCACTGAATCGTGTTCGGACCCGGACCTGACCAGAACCTTCCCCAGAACTCCACACAGATCCGGGTCGAGCAGTAAAAACAACCAGAACCCGAGTCTCAACGTGCACATTTCTGATTTTTGTCAAAATAAAACAAAAATATTGTTTGAAATATTTAAATAAATAAAAAAAAAACAAATCCTGTATGATTTACTCTACATAAAGTTTAACATAAACAGTTCATAACCAAATTATTTTATTTATTCTGTTTAACATGTCGGACAGAAATTTATCTGAAAAAAGCTTTACAGAAATTATGAATGATACTTTATTTTGAAAGAATAAATCAATTTCCTATTATTGTTTGTTAGTTTTTCTTAAAAAAAAAAAATAAAAAAAAAAAAAGACCGGAAGTGTGAAGTCTGACATGTTCAATGGGTCCTTTGATGTTTCGGTTTGATCGTTTATTATACCGGAAGCACAGTGCTCTACCTTCACAATAAAAGCACCAGATTGAAGCTTCATGTTTTAGGAAGATATTTTCAGGTTTTATTCTTATTGTTTCTGAGTGAAATAAAGTTTGTTAAAAAAAAAACTTTTTTAACAAGGCCAGTGTGACTATAACGACTTCCACAGAACTTCCAAAACTTCCTGTTTGACTGGTTATTGTTTAAAAAAAAAAAAGTTTTTCGTTTAATAACTAAAACTAATGTTTAAATTCAATTTAAAGTTTATTTAAAAGCTGCAACAGTTTCAAACACAATGAATGAAGGTTAAACCGGGTCGGTTCAGTCCAGCCGGACTCCTGTCTGCTGTAAGGAAACACTAATGTTTAATTTTTTTCTGAGTAAATGTTGAATTAAACACAGAAATTATCTTTATTTCACAATACTCGAGATTTAAAAAAACGATAAAAGCTTTCTGCTAAACGTCTCACTAGCAAGACTCTTATTTTGGAAGGTACAGCCGGAAGTTACGTGTAGTTTCGTGCACGTTGATGTGTTTGAAGAATACAGCATCAGAGACCTGCAGCGGCTGGACCGATACATCTGGTCCGAACCGGGCTGAAACCAGCTGCTGATTCTGGAGGGGAGGGGTGGGGGACAGGTGCGTGGTCACGTGGACAGACTCGGACACGCGCAGGTGTCCCTGACCCTCAGCATCCCTCAGCGTCAGGGGCCGAGCCGGGCTCCTCGGGTCCAGGATGGCGGAGGAAACCCGGGTCATCTACCACCTGGAAGACCAGGAGACACCCTACCTGATCCGGATCGGCGTGCCCGCGCAGCGCGTCACCCTGGCGGACTTCAAGCAGGTTCTGAACAAACCCAGCGCTAGGTTCTTCTTCAAGTCCGTGGACGCGGATTTCGGGTGAGTCACGATCGATGGTATCGATCCGTACGTGTATCAGTCAGATGACTTCCGGTGAAATTTGTTGTTGATCAGAAGGTTCACGTGATCAACTGACCTCACTAATTCTCAGTTTACGGAAGTGTTTGAGTTGTTGTGATCGATAAGATGATTGATCTGCAGTCACGCTCAGAGTTTCAGCCTTTTGTTTGTTTACCTGCAGGTGATTACACAATCCTCCACATGATGAGAACTGTTTCTGATTATCAATAATCTTATTAATACTCACTTGATAGACCTGTAGACCACATGGATGGATGGATGATGGATGGATGATGGATGGATGAGAGATGGATGGA